TGATGACTATAAAAAATAAACAACAAATACATTAATGTAATTAACAAATTCATTAAATCAATAAAAACTTATTAAACTTACATAGCAGCTGCTACAGCTGGTGATATCTGATTTAATAGAGGCAATTTTTTAGCATTGCCCAAGGGATTTGAAGGAGCATCTTCAGTATCTTTAAATTAATTGATTTTTGTAAATATAAAGATTGTTGTTGTTGTTGTTGACTATTTACATGTTCAGTCTCTTGTTGTATTTGTTGTTCGTGTGTCTGATGAGAACGTTGATATTGATGATGATCATCATCATCATTATCACTGTCCGAATCGCTAGCGTCATCATTGTTATTATTAAGGTGAGCATTTTTATTAATTTCCATAAGTCTTTGTTGTTGTACTACAGATATTTTATTGTGCAATTTATGTTGTTCTAATATGGCGTTTGTTGTTGCAGTTGATAAATGTTGTTGTTGTTGTGTTTGCTGCTGAGCATTATTTAATTTCAATTCATTTGTTCGTTGTATTACTGAAGTGGCATTACTAAAATTATTACTTTCTCTTAATAATTGTTCTTGTTGCTGTTGTTGTAGTTCCAGGTGATGTTGCTCCAGTTGCTGTTGGTGATGGTGTTGTTCCTCATTATCTGTTTCTTGATTATTATCATTAATATCATCTTCCTCTTCATCTTCGGTAGCTGGCCGTTCACGTTTGATGTGTTCGGTAAAGGGCTGATGATTTAATTGATTTTCGGGTTTTTCTATTGCTAATGTGTCGAGTCCATTATCGGGCATTTCAGTTTCATTGTTATCATTATCCTCTTCTTCATCTTCCGGAGGATCAATGACACGCTCATGCAAACTGACGCCATTGACAAGACTTTTACGCAAACGCCAGGCAAATGTCCGTGATATATTCAATTCATTAGCAATAACAGTGGTGGTGGCTTCCCTTAGTATCAATTGTTTGGCCAAGGCAATTTTCTTCGCATCTAACTTGATGCGAGTGCGTCCCTTGCGTTTGTTGTTGGCCATGATAATTCTGTAACGGAGGGAATGTTTAAATGTTTTATTTCTTAATAAAACTAATAATTTAGAAACACCGTAATATTTGAACTTACTTTCTGTTTATGGAGATAATAGCATTTTCCGGTTTGCGTATGCCAATGCGTCTGGGGAAATTGTTATATTGCACGATATTTTGTTTGAAAAGTTGTTGCAAGGGCCTGAAATTTCACAAAAACAAACAAAATCAAGAAAAGTACTAGTCATTAATGTCTATTTATCTATTTACTATCTATCTATCTATCTATCTATCTATCTAATCTATCTATCTATCTATCTATCTATCTATCTATCTATCTATCTATCTATCTATCTATCTATCTATCTATCTATCGATCTATCTATCTATCTATCTATCTATCTATCTATCTATCTATCTATCTATCTATCTATCTATCTATCTATCTATCGATCTATCTATCTATCTATCTATCTATCTATCTATCTATCTATCTATCTATCTATCTTCTATCTATCTATCTATCTATCTATCTATCTATCTATCTATCTATCTATCTATCTATCTATCTATCTATCTATCTATCTATCTATCTATCTATCTATCTATCTATCTATCTATCTATCTATCTATCTATCTATCTATCTATCTATCTATCTATCTATCTATCTATCTATCTATCTATCTATCTATCTATCTATCTATCTATCTATCTATCTATCTATCTATCTATCTATCTATCTATCTATCTATCTATCTATCTATCTATCTATCTATCTATCTATCTATCTGTCTATCTATCTATCTATCTATCTATCTATCTATCTATCTATCTATCTATCTATCTATCTATCTATCTATCTATCTATCTATCTATCTATCTACTACTTACATTTTCGCCGTTTTCGAAGGACAGCCAGTACGTTTATGCCAGCCCAGATGGTGACCGGTGGGGAATAAAACATTGCAGTCGGAACATTGCATAGGGCGCCTAAAAATTTAAATAAAACATCTCCCGTTAATATTTCGTTTTTTCAAATTAACACACAAAACAACTTACGTTTGATTACGTCTCTTCTTAACACAACGGCCTCGCCTTATATGTTTCTCCAGGAAACGTTTATAAAAGTAGGTCTTCTTACAATTCGTACACTCATAGACGGGTCCCGAAGTGCCGTGTACACTTTGCATGTGAGCCTTAAGAACTTGTTTCATTTCGAAAATTTGAAAGCAATGAGGACATTGATAACCACGCATGTGTGTCATACCAGCTGCAGCATCTGTCGCTGATACTGAACCACCATTAGTAAGTGTAGCGCCTGCGCCTCCATCTTCTGATGGTGTTATTAATTCAATTTCCGGTATTAATGGCAGCGGTCCATCTTCATCCTCATCATCTTGATCGGTATCACTACCTGTGCCTTCGCCAGCCTCATCATCACTTGCACCATTAGCCTGGATACCGTTTAATTTACTTAAATGCTGTTGCATATACTCATGCATCAAACGTATTGAGTTAAAATCAAATGCAGGTTTTTGTCCATTGGCACTTTTTATTTCACCATCATCTTCTACCAGATCATTATGATGTTGGCGATCATCATCTTCTTCATGTTCATTATGATCACCATTATCTTGATCTAATCTATGATCGCCATTTATTTGTCTTTGTAGATGATGTTTATAAATTTGTTCATCTAATTCTGGTTCCTCTTCCACGTCACTTTTATGTGGGGAATTTTTATGATGTTGTCCATTTGTTATTTCATGTTCTTCAACTTCATCATCTTCCTCCGATTCTAGGGTATTAGTTTGATCTGATTTACTTTCTATTTTACGTATTAAGAGTTGTTGTCTGAAGAAATTATCGGCATCTTCACATTTCTTTTTGAATAGACAGGCCGATATGGTGTTTTTGGCACATGTTATGCAGACTTGTTGCGGTAGGGTATCGCCACGTTCGATCTGAAATTATATTGAATGAATATAGAAGATTTTAGTGAAAAACATACATTTAATTTTAAATTTATCTGAAGCTAATTCTACTGTGTGTACTACACTATATTATACAACGATAGTCTACTTATAAATCCGGTAATGATCGAGTATATATTCTGATATATGAAATGAAGTCTGGACTTATAATTTAGTCTAAGTTTGGACAATAGTCTAGTTTTATAGTTTTGGAATAAATCTTAGTCTATAGTCTAGACTATTGTCTAAATTATGTGTTATTCTTAGTTATAGTCTATCCTATAGTCTAGTCAATAGTCTAGTCTATTAGTCTAGTCAATAGTCTAGTCTATAGTCTAGTCAATAGTCTAGTCTATATCTATCTATAGTCTAGTCTATAGTCTATTCTATGTCTAGTCTATAGTCTAGTCTATAGTCTAGTCTATAGTCTAGTCTATAGTCTAGTCTATAGTCTAGTCTATAGTCTAGTCTATAGTCTAGTCCTATAGTCTAGTCTATAGTCTAGTCTTAGTCTAGTCTAGTCTATAGTCTAGTCTATAGTCTAGTCTATAGTCTAGTCTATAGTCTAGTCTATAGTCTAGTCTATAGTCTAGTCTATAGTCTAGTCTATAGTCTAGTCTATAGTCTAGTCTATAGTCTAGTCTATAGTCTAGTCTATAGTCTAGTCTATAGGTCTAGTCTATAGTCTAGTCTATAGTCTAGTCTAGTCTAGTCTATAGTCTAGTCTATAGTCTAGTCTAGTCTATAGTCTAGTCTATAGTCTAGTCTATAGTCTAGTCTATAGTCTAGTCTATAGTCTAGTCTATAGTCTAGTCTATAGTCTAGTCTATAGTCTAGTCTATAGTCTAGTCTATAGTCTAGTCTATAGTCTAGTCTATAGTCTAGTCTATATACTAGTCTAGTCTATAGTCTAGTCTATAGACTAGTCTATAGACTAGTCTAGTCTATAGTTAGTTTATAGACTAGTCTAGTCTAGACTATAAAGACTAGTCTAGTCTAGTCTATTAGTCTAGTCTATAGTCTAGTCTATAGTCTAGTCTATAGTCTAGTCTATAGTCTAGTCTATAGTCTAGTCTATAGTCTAGTCTATAGTCTAGTCTATAGTCTAGTCTATAGTCTAGTCTATAGTCTAGTCTATAGTCTAGTCTATAGTCTAGTCTACAGTCCAGTCTATAATCCAGTCTATAGTTCAGTCTATAGTCCAGTCTATAGTGTAATTTATAGTCTAGTCTATAGCCTAGTCTATAGTCTATATTACAGTATATTTTGTAGTCTAGTCTATTCTTTAGTCTGCGCTGTAGTCTAGGCAATATACTAGTCTGGACTATAATATAGTCTATTGTTCAGAGAATCTTTAATTTGGACTATGATCTATTCTATAGTCCAGACTTTTAAAAGCCCATTCTATAATGAAGATCTGTTATATAATTAATACTTTTAAAAACATATACTTCCAAATTAAATTTGCTAAAAATTTTGTATGCAAGTCTTGTTTTTATTAATTTGCACATACCATTATTTACAAACCCTAGTATACATTGTAAATCGATATTTTTTTCAAACTATAAATAAAATTTATTTTTTTGATAAAAAAAGGCCAGAATGACATTAATAAAAAGAACAACGTTGGCTCAATTGTAGAGATAGAAACTACTTGTTGAAAAAAAAAAAAATAATGGAAAACATATTTACAAAATTAAACAAATAAATAAATAACTTAAAACGTTAGACAATCATAAACTATTTATACGAAGAAACAACAACAATAGCAACAAGAAGAACTAAAGCAACAAAAAAATTACTTAAAATATTTACAACAAAGTATAAAATTTCAAACTAAAAATGTAAATTATTTAGTTTTTTTTTTCGTATTTTCTTCATCAAGTAAAGGGAGTGGTTCCAATATAAAAAAAAAACAACTAACAAACAAATAATAAAAATAATAACAACAACAGCAGCAAAATAAAATTATAAAAAATTGAAATAATATGAAACTATTGAATTGAATTGAATACTCATACACATTTACTTAACTTTACTACGTTTTCAATACATAAATAATGGTGAAATATTCAAAGTGTATAATGAAAATGAAAAAGAAACAGAACAAATAAAAAATTTATTAATATGAAAAATAAATAAATAAAAAACAAAATAATTTAATCAACCCAACCCAATAAACATCGATTCAAACCTGTGAATATTTTTGAAAATTTTCTTAACTAAATAATGTATTTGCCAAATTGTTTTCAAATTTTAAAGTTTAGCCTTTGAAATAAACATGAAAATTTCCAAAAACGTTTAAAAAAATATAATGTGTGATATTTATAAAATTTTCAAAGTTTTGTTTTAATTGAACTTAGAAAAGTTTCTTTCAAAAAATAAATTATTTTAGAAAAATAAAAACAGAACATTTTTTCTACAGCAAGGGAGCGAAAAAACGTTAAATATAGGAGAAATAATCGGAGATATAAAAGAAAAATATGCTAAAATAAATGTATGAATGTTTTATTTTCAGGTGATGTAAAAAAATATATGAATTTTGCAATAGTTAGCACTATAATTAGGGTTTGAAATATGTATGAAAATAATAATAAAGAATACTTGAAATACGTTTGAAATTTTTTTTTAGTTTCAAGCTTACCTCTAGCCTTTTTTTAAATTTGAAATACATTTGAAAAATACGTTTGATTTCTAGCTGCCTTTTTGTTTGAGAAGGCCATAATTTTCCATTTGAAAACAAAAATTTTCAAATTTGTTCTCAAAGGCTATGTATGAAATTTGAATAGGTTTTCAAATACATATTTACATCATTTCAAAGGTTTTTGCTTATTGGGAAAAAAAACATACATATACACAAACAAACACACAGAGTCTAGTAGAAAAAAAAAAGAAAATAAATAAAAAAATTAATACAGAAGGAGTTTGTGTTGTTGTGCTGTGTTTTGAGGTGTCTTTGTATGAGTTACGTAAATTTTAAGTTTTTGATTTTTTTTTGGAAAAATTTAATTAAACAAAAATTTCAAATTTATTCTTTTATAATGAATCATGTAAATGGTATGAGGTGATTAAACATGAGAAGACAGACAGACGGTTTTTAAAGAATTTTTAAATCAACGGAAGTGAATATAGACTTTTAATTGAACAATAAACGTTTTGTTTATTAAACAATTAATTTTTTCAACATTATTTTGATTTAATTTTCATAAATACATAATGTATTTCTTTGGTTCCGGCCAGAAACAAAGAAGTATTTTTGATCATTTAAAAACAGTTCACTTTGATGGTTTATGTCTTAGCTAAATCATAAATCGAGGTTTGAGATTTTAAACTAAATAATTTTGAATGTTAAGATTTGATTGTTTTGAAAATATAGAACATAGAGGAATCATTATGAACACTTTTTTGGGCCGAACCCAAAGTGTGTTTGATTCCCACGAAAGATGCTGTAAAGATATTTCAGAAGAGGTCCGAAGGAGGCGGGGTTTTCGTATTTGATTTAACATACATCCTTCTAACGGAAACTGCGTACCAACCAACTACTAACTAACTAACTAACTAACTAACTAACTAACTAACTACTAACTAACTAACTAACTAACTAACTAACTAACTAACTAACTAACTAACTAACTAACTAACTAACTAACTAACTAACTAACTAACTAACTAACTAACTAACTAACTAACTAACTAACTAACTACTAACTAACTAACTAACTAACTAACTAACTAACTACTACTAACTAACTACTAACTAACTAACTAACTAACTAACTAACTAACTAACTAACTACTAACTAACTAACTAACTAACTAACTAACTAACTAACTAACTAACTAACTAACTAACTAACTAACTAACTAACTAACTAACTAACTAACTAACTAACTAACTAACTAACTAACTAACTAACTAACTACTAACTAACTAACTAACTAACTAACTAACTAACTAACTACTAACTAACTAACTAACTAACTAACTAACTAACTAACTAACTAACTAACTAACTAACTAACTAACTAACTAACTAACTAACTAACTAACTAACTAACTAACTAACTAACTAACTAACTAACTAACTAACTAACTAACTAACTAACTAACTAACTAACTAACTAACTAACTAACTAACTAACTAACTACTAACTAACTAACTAACTAACTAACTAACTAACTAACTAACTAACTAACTAACTAACTAACTAACTAACTAACTAACTAACTAACTAACTAACTAACTAACTAACTAACTAACTAACTACTAACTAACTAACTAACTAACTAACTAACTAACTAACTAACTAACTAACTAACTACTAACTAACTAACTACTAACTAACTAACTAACTAACTAACTAACTAACTAACTAACTAACTAACTAACTAACTAACTAACTAACTACTAACTAACTAACTAACTAACTAACTAACTAACTAACTAACTAACTAACTAACTAACTAACTAACTAACTAACTAACTAACTAACTAACTAACTAACTAACTAACTAACTAACTAACTAACTAACTAACTAACTAACTAAACTAACTAACTAACTAACTAACTAACTAACTAACTAACTAACTAACTAACTAACTAACTAACTAACTAACTAACTGGTTTCCACAGTAATTTCATAGAAAAAACTTTCGAATACAAGTTCTTTAAACGATTTTTCTTAAAAAGCCGATACCATTAGCTCAGGAAGAAGGAAGAAGATATACAGAGGATAAAGCTTTATTTTAAAGTCGACCTATTGGACTTTTATAACGCTGCTTTAAAGTTAACGTTAACAAAATAACTTTGGTCACTAGTGGGTTAAAAATTTGTTGGGTTGTGCAATCTAAATTGTAAGGATTCATAAAAAGTTTTATTTAATTTTAATATTTCTTAAGAATTTTAATGAAGACTCAAAATACAAAATTTTTAAGATATCTTCTAAAATTCTTTAAAAAAATATTTTTGCAATTCTCACTTAAAACTTT